TACATCACAGCCATTTTATATTAGTAGTTAGATCAATATTCGAAAAGAAGAGCTTAGCTATATGGTATCAATGGTATTTGCATATTATATTTAGGTAGCCTTTTTGTATCAAAAGGATGATGGAAAAGATGAAAAAGATTTATCTTTTTTGAGGACAGCATTTTTGGCATGTGTGATCTTGCCTAAAATGCCGGCAAGAACTCCATCAATAGCATAACTCATTGAACTCCATTGATAGCATTAACTCATTTTTATTGTCATTCCTTTAGTAGTTAGATCAATATTCGAAAAGAAGAGCTTAGCTATATGGTATCAATGGTATTTGCATATTATATTTAGGTAGCCTTTTTGTATCAAAAGGATGACGGAAAAGATGAAAAAGATTTATCTTTTTTGAGGACAGCATTTTTGGCATGTGTGATCTTGCCTAAAATGCTGGCAAGAACTCCATCAATAGCATAACTCATTGAACTCCATTGATAGCATTAACTCATTTTTATTGTCATTCCTTTAATTTCCAGGTTGTTAGGGATTTCAAACGTCCTAATGGAACGACAGAAAAGGAGATTGATGCAACCGGAGATGGTGGGGATTTTGAGAGATCTTGTTATATATTATGTGACGTGTATCTGTATCTTGATTTTTTCTTTGTTCTACATTCCAGGTGATGTTTTGGTGATTTTGGATTTACGTCCAGATGAGTCGTTGTTTGAGGCCGGTATTGCTCGTGAGGTATTTATGCTACTTCTTGTTGGGTTATTGGGTAAACTCTTACTTCTAATTATGTAGAAGTATGTCTCTTTTTCGTGCAACATTGTCTCATTTTCCTCAATCCATATCAGATTGTTAACAGAATTCAGAAGTTACGGAAGAAAGCTGCCCTTGAACCTACTGACATGGTGGAAGCGTACTTTGATTCTTTGGATCAAGACAAATCTGTCTCACAACGGGTTTTGCACTCACAGGTACTCCTTTTCATCAGGCAGTGTGTTAGGCCCTTTGTTGGTGATAGATGTGCATGCGGGAATTAATTCTTTTTAGTATCAGTTAAAAGAAATTACTTACCATAAGAAATACAACATAATTCTGCAATTTGTCGGTATATTTACCTCTATGAATCATATGTTTCTTGATTTTAAGGGTGGTTTATTTCTAGGGTTTAAAGTTTTCTATTTGCTGTCTTCCCCCATTTCCCTTTTGGTTTACTTACAATTCTTCCATTTGGAGTTCTCTTTCGTACTTTTCTCCAGAATAGCACACTCCCCAAGGAAATCAGTTTTTGATGCGTGTCTTGTCAAAGATCATTTCTGATGACATTCTATGTCAAGGGCTGATGAGTATTTTGTATGCAGGAACAATACATTAGGGATGCCATTGGTTTGCCACTGCTTCCTTCTAGTGTGATGCCATCAGATGCTGTAAGTTGCATTCACTGGATTCTGCTTTGTTTTGTTCTGTTTGTTTGTTTGTTTGTTTGTTTTTTGGTGTGGAAGTTAAATAGTCACTTGGAAGTTGACTAAAATATTATCTCCCTGCTATTTCGAACATGTTCATGAGACTTCAGATATGCATGCTTTATTTTACCAGGAATATATTAACGAGTTCGTTTGCATTGCAGTAGTTTCTTTCATCTTCTCATGGTGACACATAGGGTAACCAATTAATTTCTTGTGTCTTGATATTTTTAATTTCAATGTTTTACACATTGCAGCTCATTGTTGCGGAGGAGAGTTTCCATGGGATTTCTGGCATGTCATTTGTTATCAGTTTGGCCCGACCTGCCCTAGTGTTCAACTCAGATGCAATTCTCCCTCTGTATTCGGGTTGCTACTCTTCCCCAGAACCTAAAAGAAAAGAACAATAACGAAATAGAATTGATTCTAGACATATTTAATATGGTTTGACGCTTGCACAACTGAAGTCTTATCTGCTTCTTCCTGTTCCTCAATGGTTGCAGGAAATGCTGAATCCGTACGGTGTCTGCAAACATACTTGTTATCAAGGGATCATGCAACTTTGAAGTCTGAGTTTCAGGCGGGAAATGGAAAGGTTTGTTTTACATTCTAATCCGTTAAGCTGTTCATATTGCAAAAGTAAAAAAAATAAAAAAGCATGTCATTACATGTGCTCATTCTGCTTATCTTACTTCTCTTTCTGCAGATAACCGTTGATTGCATTGAAAACATTCCTCCAGTGGATTTGGTGTTGGGGGAACATGTATTCTTGAGTGTTGGAGATTTCAGAACAAAATCTCAGTAGGTTTTCATTTTGGACAATATTTTTGTAGGTTGATTTTCTTTTCTTCAAGCTTTTCGTCCGGTGAAAAAAAATATATATACTAGAAAACAAATACGGGCCCATATCGCGGGCAGTTATAAATTACCATTCTGATTTGCTGTGCATATGTAACAGCTTGCCCAAATTTTTGTTTCAATTGCCTTGCTTTGCTGTAAAAGCAAATACGATATTTGTTTATTGATAAGATGGCTAAACGAAAAGGGGGAAACACTAAGTGAGCTTGAATATTCATTCAATCTGATTCAAATGTACAAGAAATAATAATAATAATAATAATTCATAAGGCCGATTGGACGAAAGTCTGAGGAAAGATAACAAACATTTGTACGTTAGATGAACATAAAAGAATGGAACTATTTCTCTATAATCAGATCAAAAGTATAAGATATGACGAACTTGAAAAAGGAAATAGGACAAAGAACAAAGAGCACCAAAATATGAAAGCAAGAATGCACCCACTAGGGACGGTGGTGGCCTATCTGCCCAGCAACATTGCGCCACCGCTCTGGAACCAATCCTCGCTGCTGCATGAGCAGCTCGATTAACACTACGAGAGATCCAACACCACTCCACAACATCCAGAGATGAAGCAAGATGTTTGATTTCCAGCACAATTGGAAGAATAGTCCAAGCCCTCTTACTCACTCGTCCATAAATATTGTGGTTCAAAATTTATGAGTCAGTCTCCATGATCATTCGTCTATATCCCAAACCAGCCACTAGTTTAAGACCTCGAATGGCAGGTTCCGGTTCCGCATGGAGAGCAGAACAAGAAGTTAAGCCTTCAGTGAGACCCCCTACAGTTTTGCCGCGCCTTCATTCCGTAACACTGTTAGATAAAAATATAAAAAAGTGATAAAAGATTCATCCAACACAATATCACTCGTATTTATTGCAAATAAGAGTTTCTATAGTTTGAGTAGGACCCATTTCAGGATGAAAATATATCTTAATTACAATCTCTTGTGAAAAGAGAACACCCTTTGATGCAAATATGAAGAGTGAAAGTTTGTTTGATGTTTTTGGTTGTGTCTAGGGAACTCTAGACTGTCAACATACCCTTTTGGGGATCAAGCCGTTTGTAGTCACGGAAGAATTTAATTGGATTTTCAAGGAGTGAAGGACCCCTTGAAAGCATTTTATAGTGATGTAAATTGATGAATTTTGGATGTGGAAAATATTTATGGAATTTGGATGAATGTGGTTAAATCAGGAATTCAATTTAGAGAAGTGATTTTGTGGTTGCATCTAAATTGAATTTCTAGATTGTCTACGTATACCCTTGGCTGGAACAAACCGACGGTATTTCGAAAAAAGTTAATTTAATTTTTCTAACGAGTATATGACCCAATAGTAATTTAGTGACCTTTTTTGAATGATTTAGAATAAGTTGTGTATTCGACTTTGCACCGAATTTGGGATTTCTTTATGCCCAACTGAATTGTGAAGCTTGTAAACAATAATGGGCTTTTGTCACTCGTAAGGAATCCATGAATTTGACCAGCATCTTTTATTTTGGCCCAAATAATCATATCTCCCAAAATCAGCCACCTTCAAATGAGGACTCATCTCCTTTTGGAAGAGAGTACAGAAACACATGAGTGACTATATATCCATGCCTTCGGGTTTGAATGACTGGACTTTTGTTTTGTGCTGTCATAGGAAAAACAAAGGCCCTGCGTTGCGTTGACATGTTCTTGTTTATTTATTTGATGAGAAGCTTGGAGACAGACAGCAAAGTGTCTAAATTTATGATTTATGAAAGATCCGCTAGTGAAATCTGATTTATCTTGACTGCCAACTATGCACATGAGGAAAACTTCTATGTTTGAAGTTGCTTGTTTTTTGAGGGGGAAGAAAGCAAAACATTTTTGGAGCTGCTGTGTGTTGGTCCTTGGGTGGGAGGAAGTGTAGGGATTGTGGAAGAGAGTTCGTTGTTGGGAATCATTCTGAGATTTAGGACTTGCCTCTCTTTCTTATTCATGCAGATTGGGGGGCGGCGGTGCGGCGGTGGTCTCTTAAGATTGATAGTGCTTAGTTAAGCTCTTAGGATATCTGTTTGAGATATTCTGGAACTGATTTTGATGTATTTAAAAGCAGTTTTGTCCTGGATTTTAATACATACTAACAAATGACCTGTAAACAACTTTATAAGTGGTTCCATATCTTTTGAAGTTGCTTGACAAGCATAGTAATATGAGAGAATGAAGGAAGAATGTATGAAATAAAAACTTGAGAATGGAAGTTAGGGATTGTTTTTAGTTTTTACTCTTTGGTTTTCACTTTAGTGTTAGTAAATGCAGAGGAAGTCAAAAACCTCTTCCAACTCTTTTGTACGTAAACATCTCATGGAAGCCGTTTGACCCGAAAAAACAAACCCCCATGGGAGCCGTTGGTATTTTCAGAATGGATAAAATTTTATTTTTATCAAAACCATAGCAAAAACCAGTCTGCTGTTCGGGTTTTCGCCACGTGGGGCTTCAGCATTGGTCACAGCAGAAGCCTCCTGCCGCGCTGCTTCTCTACAGGTTCATTTGTAATCTAAGAAATTACAAATGCCTAGGACTTGATCAACAAAAGAGAACATCGCATATTTTCGTCTGCGTTTGTCTTTGTGTGTGTATGTGTGATGTTGGGTCTCATACCAGTGAATATGGTGAGTTCTCTAATGGGGCTTATAGAGTTATCATCCAATCATCGACTTACTAAATTTCGCTTTTATTTTCTAACTGAATTTTACTTTGAGTGCAATTCTTTCAGCTACAAACTAACACTAAAATTACAGCTTAAAAAATGTAAGAAACTACAGACCAACACTCTCTTGTATAACAATTTCAGCCTGAACTGGAAACAGCTTCCTCACAAGCCTCCGCCTCGTATGCCTTTGCTGGTTCCTCAGAGAAACTGGGAGCTTTGGGAATCAGACCAAGCACCTTGAACATGAGTTGATCAGCATCAAAATCGTTGTTTGGAGTGGTCAACAGCTTCTCACCAGTGAATATCGAATTTGCACCAGCAAGAAAGCACAATGCCTGCTCTGGCATTGAAAACTTTACTCTCCCAGCTGACAATCTGACCATTGCTTTTGGCATGACTATACGGGCAGTGGCAATCATTCGTATCATCTCCCAAATTTCAACTGGCTGCACATAGATGTAGCAAAATGAATTCTGTTAAACTAATCAAGTCTTGGAACATCAATAGAATTTAGAGAATGCAACTGGCATGATGATTGATGGCTCTAGACGCTATGATTAAAGTGAGATTTAAACCACCGAGGGGCACAAGTACAATTGTTAAAGTGATGATCTAAAGTCACCCTAAACACATCTTATCCATAATTTTGTGTCAACTACTGCCCAACTTGAATCACAAAATATGCCACTGTCTCCATTTTAGCATGCACAATTATTGCTAGAACCTCTACTGTCAAGTTTAGAATTAAACAAATGTAGACTGACCTTCTGGTCTTGGAGAGGTGTGCCTTTCACTGAAACCAGTGCATTGATGGGAACACTTTCTGGGTGAGATGGGAGTGTTGCTAATGTATGCAGCAAACCAACTCTATCCTCCTCTGCTTCTCCGAGCCCTATTATTCCTCCTGTTTAAAAATGAAAATAAATAAAAAAGTTAACTTTACCATCGAAGTAAATACCTATATTTTTGTGCTCATTAATACACCATAGCTGTAAATGTTGATGATGAACACTTAGATGCTTAGAATTTTTTTGGTCAATCACTTAGATGCTTAGAATTGACTTGAGAAATTATGGTAATTACCATAAGGTTACAACTCAAAGAAAATAATATTCTAAGAACTTTAAAGTTAAAATTCTCATAATTTAAATGGTTCTATAAATGGGAGACACAATGTTTAGGGGGAGGAAAGGAAATGGAAATACATCTGGACAAAGAACCCTTTGCATCTTTGAGATTATATATATCAAAAAATGTCCATCGTATCATTGGGAGGTTACATATCTTAAAACAACATAATTTACATTTTCAAAAAGTCAAAAAGTAAACATGTCCCCCTTAGAAAACAGCTGTTCTGAACGTTAAATGATTTTATCAAAGAATAAAAGAAGTTGAACAAGAAAGCTCTTTAGCTAAATTAGTAACAAGAATAAAATAAAAAAAATCATAGCCTTTAAAATTCCATTTCATACATACTTTGAAAACTAACATGGGTTGAAAAATGTGAATAACTTGCAAGTACAACAAAAGCCATAAATAAATGGGAAGAAAGTCCAATAGGATTAACCTTTCGCCACTAATTAACATATCATTTAAGATATTCAAGATAAATAACACTGCTGTGAGCTTAGTATGCAAAGTATGTAACCAAAGATGACAATACACTAAGTCTTTCCACTTTTATTAAGGACTGGAAAAGAATAGACCAGTCTGAATGTCTGCTCCTGTTAACAAATGTGTTTTTACACTATTAGGAGAAGAAGAAAGAATCTATCACATGCATTAGGCTAGACAATGATGGACTTACGAAATAGATGCATGTGATTATATACAAAAGATCAGATTACCTGAACACACACTAATTCCTGCATCCCGGACAAACTTAATGGTTTCCAAGCGCTCATCATAGGTCCTTGTGGTAATGACATTTGGGTAATATTCCCTTGAGGTGTCAAGATTGTGATTGTAAGCTGTCAGGCCTGCTTCTTTGAGTTTCAAAGCTTGTTGCTTTTCTAGCATGCCTAAGGTGCAGCACACCTCCATTCCCATACCCCTGGAATGTGAGAGATATTAACATAAGTTAAACTGTTGGGCAAAACCTCATCTATGTTCAATACAAAGCCTCTCCTTCCTATCTGCTTAATATATGCAATATACAATGTTTTATTACCTTATGTCTTTTACATATTCAAGGATCTGGTTAAAGTTTGTCTTTCTTCCAACTGTATCCCTCCATGCAGCACCCATGCAAAAGCGTGTGCTTCCAGCCTCTTTTGCCTGTCAAATAATGAAATATGGTGAAATATTAAGACATGATTGACTTCAAAGTACAAATTGAATTAATCATAAGCAGGAAATCATAAATAGTACTCCCAATTCATATCTCTGGTGAAGAAAATTAAAGGAATAGACAACTTGAGACCAACATACAATTAGTAAGGTCCAATATTGTTTCTCTATAAAATATATGCCACTACCTAATAAAACTCAAAAGCAGAAGTTCTGGAAGGAATTGAAACTTAAATGAGAAGTATCATCATGATTTAATTTAGACCCATAACTTAAAAAGCGGTATGTAAATAGGTCATGAGGCAGCAAAGTTCATGATTCCAAAGAGACATAAGTTTCGTGCTGACCTGCCTCATATAACAACACTATGGTCCTAGGGGCATATCTATGATTCAACGATCAAATGATCATGTGCAATCAATCACCTATACTGAAAATTTTATATGTAAAAGAAAGGAACAATATATTCATGACTCGGCCATAAGAAAAAATATTCATGGTAGCATAACAAGCACTGTTAGAATTAAAGGACCAATGTATATAACCAAAATCTAGGACCCTTAGCTATTTGCTGCTATTGTTAGCCAGGACACCTCATTGTTGACAGAATTCGCCTATTAGAGGATTAACACAAAACTGCATGTTTCCAGTTTTTGTACATGAGATGGAGGCTTCCAGTGATCCCCTTACAATAACTCATTATTTCTCACAATACACATCAGACCACCAAATTGTGAACATGGTATTCTCTTGATGCATGTTTCAATCACTCCCGTAGACTAAGATACTATAATGTAAAAAGGAACTTGATAAATTTCATTAATTGCTTTTCTGACACTCTTCTTTCAACTCATACAATCATTATACGCTTTACATAATTATAACATCAAAGATGAGTTTTCTATTTATCACCAATTGCATCAACAGTTCTGCAACTTCTGCTGTAGTCCTTAAATTTCCCATTCATGGGAGAAATATACAAATAAATGGTAAGACTAGTTATTGTAAGTCAAGCATGACACGAGTTGTAATTGCTTAGGGATGTTTAATATTACTCAAAACTCTGAAATGCAAGGTAAAGACATAAGATTAAGAAAGGGACCTTTTGTGCTGCCTCCATGACGGCGTCCTTTGTCATAAGCTTTTGGGCCTTGAGTCCTGTGTCATACCGGGACGACTGAGGACAATACGAACAATCCTCACTACATCCACCAGTCTTGATAGAGAGGAGAGTACACTGCTGCACTTCCCTAAAATTATGCGTGTGTCTGTGAACTTGAGCCTGAAAAAGCAAGATATTTACTTCTAACATATGACGCTGATGTAATGAAATCATAGAAAGAAAGAAAAAAATACAAATACATTCAAAACAAAATCTGAAGAAAAAGAGAAAAGGAAATTGCTTTCGATATCAAAAATAACTTATCAACCCACAACACGCATTGGGCAGTGTAAATATCAAGGAAAAGAGTTTAGGAAGTCAACTAGAGCAATGGTTATAACTTGTGGTGACTGAAAACTGTTAGGTATTTGAGAGAAATGAATATTTTGTACTGACTCAATCAATGAGTACAGTTAAATATTCTTAGAACCTTAACAACCTTAGAACTAATTACAGCTGTCAGTTTTGATGTGATGTAACAATACTATAGTAAGTCCACTAAGCCTGCTCTTGTCTATCGAATTCTAGATATCTTATACCAAAACTAAGGCCAAAGGCATTACCAAGTAGGATTATAAAAAAAAGTTTCACCAGAGAAAATAATTATATACCCACAAACTAATTATGCATTATGAAAATGTAAGTAGAATATCATAGTCATTTTCCTTTGTTTTCTCCCCCATTTTCCAGGCAACCAAACAGAGCATACCAAAAACTAAAAGAAGAAGAAAAAGGAAGAGAAAGAAGAGGTACTGACTCCGTGGAAAAGGAGATCGAGAACAGGAGAGCCATAGACGGCCTTGATCTCGTCGCGGTTCCAGTCATTTCTGGGGCCTTGTCTGATTGTTCTCTCAGCTTGAATTGCAGCTGCGGATGATAAAGAAGAGTAAAATGAAGAGTGCAACACAGCCACCGACGGTCTTAGCTGCCCACGCAAAACGGACCTAGTCGAAAACATTTCCCCACTGTTTTCTTTTCTTTTGTTTTTTTCTCAGGAAAACCGAGATTTTCCGGGAAAATAAAGAAAATGAAAGAGTGTGTGTGTGTGTGAGAGAGAGAGAGAGAGAGAGTGGCTGCTGGCCTGGGCGGAGAAGGAGAGGAAGAAAGTGAACAATATATAAATAAAATAAAATAAAAATATTCATTAGAAACTCTAAAATTAGGTGTATTTATTTAACAACCCAACATGACTAAATTAGGTGTGTTTTTTTTGTTTTTTTTTTGTTTTGTTTTTGGTCCACACAAGAAAACAACACACACCACCTACCAAGTTAGGTGTTTGCTAGGTGTGTGTGACAGTGTGAGTGAGATTTACCTCTTCCTCTCTTTCTTCTTCTACTCCTCCTCCTCCCCTTCTTCCCCCATATCTTCTTTTTCTTTTTCTTTCTCATCATCAGCCACTTCTTTCTTCTCCTTTTCATGGCTTGACCCCAAATCTAACCATCCATGATCCAATCAGGACCAATCTTCTTTATTTTATTTTTTTTGTGGTTCTGTTACAATCTTTTTTTTTCTTTTTTTTTTTTTAAGTTCGAAGAAAAATTGAAGTTACCATGAATAGTAATTTCCTAAGAATATCTTTAGAAGAATTACATGTTTGTTTCTTCTTTAATGGGGAGATGTAAATTTAAACTCTCATGTGTTAATTTTCAATGTTAAATTATTTTGTATAAGTTTTATCTTTTTTATTTCTTCAAACAGATTAAATTGAAATTTTTAAAATTCTGATAAGATTTTCATTTAATATCGTTGAAAGTACATTTAGTATAATCCGATCTAGTTGGATTTTTTTTTTTTCTCCCTAATATAGGCATTTGAAACTAAAATATTACAGATAAGTCATGTTTACATCTATCTATATATAATACAAGGCATTTATTATTAAATTTTTAAAAACTCAACAAATGCCCTCACTTAATTAAAATGCTAAAAGAGGAATAATTTATTAACCAAGAATAAAATAGTAAACTGACTTGTTAAACTTAAAACTTGAAATGAAAACAAAATGCAACGTTTCTCCCACTTTTAAAGGCAAGGGATTGTAGTCAAGTGGTTCAAAACAGTGATTCATAATAACAACATTTCAACGTGTGCGATTGGATTAGATTTGACAATAAGCATCTCGTATTTCAATTTTTTGTCCCTTACTAAGAACAACCATCCAATTTAATGTCAATTGGATTGGATCTTAACCTCTGATCTGATTGGACTAGATAATATTTGCCTCAATTGACCATGACCACATAGGTCCCAGACAGTAAAATATGCTCAACAAGCAAATTCAAATTTTCAAGTAGAAAAAAAAATTTCTATAAAATAATTTTCAAACTCAACAAAAGCAAAAAATACATAGGCTTGTAGGCCCGGTCCGTTTATGGGAACAAATAGGCTGCAGTTTGAAACGAAGCATGAATTTGTCCAATTTAAATGAGTCGGGTCAGCCCAGGTCCTTTAATTGGCCAGTTCGAACTACAAGTTCAATCCGGCGGCTACCCTGATCCTTCTCTATTTCCAAACCCAAAATAGGGTCCATTCCAACAACCAAATACCACCTATTAAATTTTTTTAACTCCCGATTTCGCCCATGCTTAGTGATGCATAAGGAATAAAAAATTATACCGGTTCCACATTAAAATCCATAATCTATATCTGAAAAACCAAGAATTAGATAACTCCCCCAATTCCAAGTGAACATGCCACCAAAGTATTCTTGAATTCGAGTTCCAATGTTTAAGGTTCTCTCCAACACAGCTAAATAAGGGGCTGAGGAATGAAACTGAAAACCAGCACAGGAAACTAAACAAAGAAAAAGGTATAAAGAATTGTGCAAATTGAAGGTTGGTTGTTCGTATGATATCAGCTGTATGCAGATGGACCTATGGATCAGGACTCTGTCATCTGTCTCAACTTCCAAGTAAAAGGGAGCAAAACACGCCGGAAATGCACAACAGATTCCAAAGCAGACTCATATCTCATTTCTTTATCCTTCAAGCCAGAACAGAAGAAAGAACATGACCATAATTTTAAAGGAAAATGGGCGAAGATTGTGCCAGCTAACTGCGTTACACCAGCCCAAATAAAAAATCATGCCAAACAAACCTACACATACATGTACGAGCAAGACACACCTACACACACACGGTTTCTACAACGCCTTCTTCACATTATGAATTAACTGTACAGAACTAGGGGATTCCCAGCTATTCTAGGCAAGTATCAAGTGCAAAACTTTGATTGCCAAGGCAATATTTAATCCAAATCACGCTGTTAGTGTCTTGAAGCAAGAGGTCATGTACATTTAACCCAAAAATGAAAAGAAAAAAGAAAGCAAGAAATTCACATTTAAGTATCCTACTGCAAAATGCATCATTTCATTCTGAGCACGACCTGATTCTGAGTCTTGTTCCTACTGCAAAATGCAGATTTGACACCTGAAAAAGCATACTACAGTAATGATTTTGGTTTTAATGGTGGTTGTCAGAAAAATAATTCATAAGGAGTTATAGACAAACACCGTGCTTTATGGATGGATGATACACAAATTATGAAAATACATAAGAAAAAAAATACAGTGCTAATTATCAATGCAATGAAAATTACATTACATTCAACCAAAATAAACAAAAGTATGCATATAGAGCTTGGTCAGCGATAGATCCTAGTCTAAAGTATAAAAGGAGTTTGTTACCAATAGAAAGAAATTAAAAGACAGTTAAAAAAAGTAAATCAAAAGGAGAAAATAGAAAGTCAATTGTGGGAGGTGTGGGAATAATTAAGACTTGTCCTGAATGCATCAACGAAGGATCATGCGAATCACAGAAAGGATTGTACATGAAAAAGAGGAAATCTGAGGTTTAAGAGTTGTATGAGAAGAAAAGTACAAGTCCATCCTAATATCAGTTTTTTTTTTCACAGTTAGTAAAATAAATTTTGGACCAAGACTGTGGAGCTTCATGACTGATATAAATATTTTCGGGACTGTAACACAAATTGGTATTATTACAGAGGTAAAACATCTGCTGAACCAAATCCTCTACATACACATACATCCCCACATCCCTTCTAATTTGTTTATGACCACCTACCATCCTCTTGATATTTTTCTCTGTTTTCATTTGGTAAATAATTTCACCATCCTCATGAAAATCAACTGCCTCCAAATATTACATATGGTAGCAATCAACATTACATGGGTTGGTTACATTCTTTAAAGCCATAGTTGTTTTCTTGTAAAGCTAAAAGGTAGTCAGATAAAAGTACTTTATTTACAACTGTAAATATGAGATGAGTAGTATTAGCTTTGCTCCACGAAATTAATTAACCCAAAAAATTTAAGTTTCACATAAACAAACAAATTTCTAAACTGGAAACAACCATACTGGAAATGCTGTAAAATAATTGATCTATAGCATGTCCTCGGTCAAAGTTAAAAAAAGAGGAAAAGAAACAAACCCTAAGAAATTGATTAAAATTCTATATAAAAGAACTGACTCATACACTCCACGGGACAGCCCAAAACTATATTATACCTCTTTTCACCTTAACCTGATGCTTTTAAAATTCAAGTCCACTCTCCCCTCAATTCTTTTTCATATTTGCTTATACTATTTAGAAGAGAGAGTGAGAGACCAACACACCTCTGGTTTTCCATCATTTCACACAACCAACAATACTCGATGAATCATCTGTGCAGCTGCCAGTGGAGAGGTTCAGTCAGAGGTTTCTTCCTTAATTGCGACTTTCTTTCCCTTTGCCCTTTGTGCAGCTCTTCGTTTGGCCTGAATTTGGCGTACATATTCTGCTACTATGACATGGAACTTTGGAGCAAGCTTATTTGTTGACGGCACATTAAGGCCTGCCTTCTTCAAGGCCTTTTTGATAGCCTTCTGAGCCACTTGGAAGTGATGAGTACAAAGAGAAGGAACAGTGGATCTCAGTATTGGCTTCCCACAGGTTAGAGGTCCTGCCTGAGCACTAGATATATAAAAACCAATTAATTAACAAAATAGTAAGTTGAAAAATCAATCTCTGCCAGTCATATGATGGTACAATATACACAAAATAAATAAAGAAATAAAAAAGTTGGACAACTAATGCTTGGTGTATTTACTGACAATAAGCTTATTCAAATGAACTATCTGGAGGAGGTAGAGCAGCAAAGAAATAGCACCTACTAGTTCTATATTTAATTAACCTTTTTCAACATCTGTCAACCTACTTGAAAATATTATGATAATGCTACAATTCCACAGCACATTAACTATTTCACATTTAATAGCACAATTAATCAGCCCATCCCAACTAAAGAAAAAGGGGTGAAAGTAAGTGATTGCCCTCAGTGACAAATTATCTTTTTCTGTTTAACCTAACTCGTCAACTATTTTTTGGGACAAGAAACAAAAACTCCAATAAAAAATAAAGAAAATTACAAGGGAAGACAGATATCCATAAATAACCACGACACCTAAAGGAAAACCAAATATTTAATTCTATCTCAAAGTAAACCGCCATCCTCTTTGCATGCACCAGTTGTCACATTTATAGCATTTCAAAATCCATGCATGCTTATGCATTTGAAATCATCAACGGTCATGCTACTAGCTTCCATATTTCGTTTGTGTCCAATCAATGATCTATGAATACTAGTCTACTATAATAAGGTCCATGACTATAAGCATTTTTCAATCATATCTTCGGAGTTAGAACCTTCTTTTATGGGAAACGAAAAATTTATTAAAACACAGAAGACACAAGAGAATATAGACATGGGAGGAGGGAGGAGGGAGAGACATAGAACAAAAGCTCAATAAGCACTTTAAAATAATCAGCATAAAGCTCCCGAATCCAGATTAAGTACACCAAAAGAGACATAGGGTTTTGACATTGTTAATTAAAATTGATTAAGAATATTGATTTGAAGTTTATCTTTGTTTTAATTTTTCTCCTTATTCTCCCTACTTTATCTGAATTTCTTCCCCCCTCCAATAACTAATATCAGAACAGTTTTTGCCACGCAACCATTGGTATTAAATCCAACCTGGAACCCCTGCTCTACAATTGATCCAATCCTTCATAAGCTTGTCACGCTCCTGGTCATAAGTTGTACGTCTTGAGCAGCAGCTAACTGACCATTTTTTAATGGCCGTGCGTGCATTCTACACGCAGGGGCTGGAGGGCACATTGTTTCAAACAAACAAAACTGAAATAAAAAAGAGTCAACCTACCTGTTGCTTGCTAAAGGCTAAAGCAGACCGTCATGAGACTTGCCCATGCAGCAATATTGCGAGTTGTTCTCATCACATCAAGAACTAACAGCACTGGATCATGGGCTAAGTTGTTTTCTTAGTTACTATTGATCACATTACATATTATTTTACAGTGGAAGTGTTACATCAAGTATTTCCAACTCCTGGATGTGAGGAGAAGATCTTCAAGCTCCTTATATCAGTGCCATTCAAACTCTTGTACAATATGAGCCATGCTGGATTGTTGTTTCTGCTAAAACTATGTTGCAAAGATGTTGTATTTATGATACTAGTATTTGGGTTCCCCTTTTTGCCAATTGAATCTTGGCCTTTTTCCCTTCCCCTTTTCAAAACTTAAGCAATTCCTTTCCTCCAGCACATTGAGCTCCTTGATTTTCTCCTCCACCTCCTTCTCCTTCCCTGATCCCCATTAACCTCCTTATTCCATTCCTCGATCCTCTCCTTTACAAATTGCAATTTCCTAATGAACTTAAAGCTTGCCATCCTTGATCACCCCTTTCTCCTGCAACTCCTTGAAACACCAATGATGTTCTAACCACAGGCTCTCAAACCTAAAGGGCCCACAGTCCCAATTCACATTATCCAGAACAAATATAAAATAATCCGAGGTCACCCGAGCAAAGGACTTTTGCCTGACATGAGCAAAACCCTCCTCCCACTCTGCTAGAAGAAAAACTAAAACTCAAATCAAATCTCTCCAAACTGCCACAAGTTGCCTTGTGTTGCATACTAACAGTTTAAAAATTCCATTCTGTAGAGCCAGGTCTGTGTCTCAGATAAAATCATTATCATCACTCTTCTTGTCATAAGACCCTGATAAGAATATTGGTTTGAGTTTATCCTAAATTTCTCCTTGTTCGACCTACATCAATTGCTATTAGAACAATCTTTGTCCTCTCGTTTTATCACCTTGTCCTACACCAATTTCTATTAGATCAATCTTTGTCATCAGAAACTTCCAACATTAATTATTAATGTTTGCACTATGTCTAATTTACAATTAAGCAAAGTGACTTTCCTAAAAGGCTAGAACATCCTTTTAATCTTTTTACACTTAAAAAGCTCAACCACAAGATTTTTAGCCCCAAGTTCCAACAACTATCAGAAACAAAGGTACAACGCTCAAGTGCTAACCAGTTAGTAAGTTAATATGACACTAACCACTTGTTCTGGCCCACTCCACAATCTATCTCACAATTCGAACCATTTATTTTTTAGATCCTTTGAAAGATCATCCTTCCAAATATTTACTCAAATCGAAGAACATTTAGTTATTAAACTGTAAGCAAATAAATAGATGAACACAACATTTTCAACAAACAAGGATATGTTCATCACAAAAATCAAGTGGCTAAACCAGTTCCGATTAGGATGAAATTCTGCTGGGAGGATCTTTGAATGAGGACCTAAAAAGTAAATGGTTCGAATTGTGAAATTATATTGCGGGGTAGGCCAAAACGAGTGGTTAGCACTGTGGTAACTTACTATCTGCTAAGTGCTTGAGCGTTATTGTACGAGCACAATAACAACAGTAAAAACTTTACAAATCAATGCCAGGCCAGAAAAGCTAGATTTCTATTTTTATTTTCTTTTAATAATAGCCAACTAAGTGAATACAAACAACTATCCACAGAAACAAGAATTAATTTTATTTAAGGTAAAGCTAATTTTATAAATGGCAACACTCAAGTACAATATAACTGACAGCTGTATCTTTCTCTCCTAATTAATTACATTCTTCTGGAGAAGCTATTTTTCAGAAAAGTAGAAACCTATTAGAAAATGGAGGAAGAAAAACAATCAAATCCTGAAAGCAGCATCATAAACAATTCTTACACAGCTATTTAAAATTATTCCACCAATCCAAACAAGCACAGAAGCCCACTCTCATTAAATAACAAAGAGCCATCATAGAATTAAGCTATGAAACAACTCAAAGTAAATTCGATAAACAGCTAGCCTAGTTTTTGAAAAGAGAACAAAACAGGGGTGGCCAAGGGGGCCACACAAGCCCCAAAACAAAGAATCACACCTAGACAGCCTAACACATTAAAAAATTACAGCTTTCCAATCTAAATGAATGAAACTAAAGTTAATCTCCTTAAGTACTGAAGAAGTTGATGCCCACAATGAAAAAATAAATAAATAACAAAACCCTCATAACAGTTAAAAATCAATAGTTAGCACAAACTACAATTTACATGTATTAAAGATTCTAATGAACGAATATCAGGCTATTCAATCAATTGATGACAAACCCCAGAAGCGTTCTCACAAACTAACATATACCCATCAAAGAATTAACCCTAAAAAACCAAACTTCAATACAAGAAATAGCAAATTACCTCTTGATAACATACCCACAAGGCTTATAGAGCTTCTGCTTCGAATCCGATAGAATATGGAGGTGACAAAAGCTCGTCAACGGCATGGCCTTCGTCTTACACTGATGATAAGAGCATTGCAGTTTCTTTTTCGCATCGACGTCGGTCCGAGCAATCGCAGCACCACCATTATTGTTGTTGAAATTGCTGTTGATGTTGTTATTGTTCTCATCAGTGCCTTCAGCATTCCCAGCAGCGTCTCTATCGCTCTTGTGCTCATCTTTGAAAGGGCTCACACCGAAGTTCCAGTAGAACTCCCTGTGCTTCTTCTTGACCTCCTCCATGAAGGCCCAGTATTTGGATTTGTAGAATTTTCTGAGCTGCCTTAAGAAGTAGGAACGGCGCCGGAGGACCTCCGGGCGCGTGAGCTGGGAGGCGCCTGAGAGAGCGATTTCTTCTTGGGAGGGTGGGATAGGAGGGATTTTGGAGGTGGAAGGGTTAGGGTTTGGAGTTTGGGTTTCAGTTGTGGGTTTGAGGGTTATGGGGTTTTTGGGAGGTTTGGAACTAGAGGGAGGATGGGGCTTGGAACCAGAGGCAGCCATGGGAAGAGGGCGGAGGGCGGAGGGAGGAGGGAGGGAGAGCGCGCGCGTATGAGGTCGAGAGTTGTTAGGCTATGCGTGTATTGTGATTGTCAGAAACAATTATGTAAAGAGATATTTACACTAACAGGGTTTTTGGATGTTTCACAAAACCCCTGAGGTTTCAGAAATTACATGAATACCTTATAAGGTTTTAAATTATTTTCACAAAATCCATTTTCATTGATTTTTCATCCAAAAATTGATGATTTTATACAAAAAAAAATTCTATAAATGACAAAGTTGGCCTTTAAGATTAGATTGCATATACATTCATTGAGGTTAATTTTGTCAATTACATAAGTTTTTTTTTAAATGAAATCATTAATTTTTGAACGAACAATGAACGAAAAGGGGTGTTTGGGCCTAAATTTGATGTGCCCAATCCAAAATCAAAAAGCCCACATCGTTGTTTGACAAGCCACCAACAAATGATTGGGCCAAGGAAAAATACACTCAACCAAAAATTAAAGACCTAGAAACTATCAAATCACAAAGGTGACTTGGGCCTCGAAGGAACCCAAATTGGGCTTGGCATGTTTTAGAAAAATAATAAAGGAGAAGCAACAGGCCCACGTGATCGACTGGCTTGGAAAAGTCAACAATTTCAACTAGAATTAATAAGGAATGAACAGGGGCAGGTATAAAGAAGTCTGAAAAACTCTGCTTCTGAAAAGCTTTGCTAGAAGATCAAATTCCGTTTTTGTTTATTTACAAGATATTCTTCTGCTCCAAAGATGGCACCACTTTCAACGGATACGCATACCATACTTTCTAAAAAAGGAGATAAGTAGGAAGCAGGGAGTTGCTAAAATGGAAAATCACACTCACCATCACAGCTTAAAAGAGCAGTTAAACTGGAAAAATGAGGTATGGCACCCCATCAAAAACAGGGAAGTGACTGTCTCAGGAACAAATCATTAAGAGCTTAACTGCCAGAAATTGATAAAACTCCATTTCTTTTGTTTTTAAAAATAAAATATCTTTTGAGATTGTTTGCCGCCCATTATTAAAAGAATTAAAATCCCACTCCCAAAACATTTCTTATAAATACAAGAGAGGGTGAACAGAGCACGGGACAATCAATCAAAAACAACCAAAAATCAACCAGAGACAAGAGCTCAAAATGATCACTTGATTCCAAAGCCTTCAAACAGTTATCAATCAAGACACCCAACTTCAGTCCAGACTTAGAGAAAAAAATCATTCAAAACAAGATTTCTCTCGTTACAAATTTGGTTCAGCATAAGTCAAAACAAGCAGAGTTCAGTTTTCTACAAATATGAAAACCTCAACAAATTTATGAAGAGCCCTGATCAAGCAGGACAGATGTCACAGTGAAGCTCCAGCCCAATAGTCAGTTCTAGCCACTTCTGCCTCTTCCAAACTGAAGAAATCCCAATTATGCCCAATCAAAAGCTTTCCAGGGTTTGAAATAAATTAAAGCTCTGCCAAACTCGAACATTGGCATCAATTTGCAGCCGAAACAAACCAGTTGAAGTTGTTGAAAGTCCAGTCCAGCACAAGCATATCCAATCCAGCCTGGATCAGAAGCATCTGCCTGGGTAGAAATGGAAGCACAGTCCTCTTTTTGTCTTTTTATAGTCAGTTTTTTTTTCCTTTTGAGCTTTGTAAAGGAGAGTTCTGCCTAAAAATAGATCACTTTCCTATCATTTATTCTGGCCAGAACTACCAGTTTGTACTGTGAAAAATTGTGAAGTCCTCACCAGTCTGAGTCAGGGAAAAAACTTACTTGGGAGATATTCCTCACCCAAATTCACAATCGCTTGTTCAGAGATCAATAACTTGGGGCGCAAGTTATCCATTTTTAAACAAGTCTGCTAGGATTTTTCATTACTAGCAGTGGCACGCTCGCACACTAAAGAAAGTTGACTTGATTGACCAGTCAATGGTTTTCGAGACAATGGGGAACTTTATCATACCATCACAGGAGACAAATCAAAACAGGTGAACAAGGGGTTTTGTGAAAACAAACTGAAATCTCAAAGAGTGTTTATGTATTTTTGAGACATCAAGGGTTTTGTGAAAACACAAAAAACTCAAGGGGTGTTAATGTAAATGACTTTTTTTTTTTGTAAATATAAAACTTTGGGGCATTGGAAGGAAAGTTCATTAAATACCAATAAGGCGGCTTTCTCTCTCCCCCACTCTCTTTTATTGTTAGAGAAAATAATTACGCGTCAATGAGTGTAAGCCATGTGTACATAGTTTTGTTGTTAGGACCTAATACCCTTAAGAAAAATAAATATTTTTATGCACCGCTTTAACTCAAGGTGTACCTTCACCACCCTTGTTAACACTTGACATGTGTTCATTGGCATAACCATAGTTAACTCTTTGCTTTGTATTTATAGAACCATGGTTATGCCCATGAACACATGTCAAGGGTTGAGAATGTAATTAGAGTACACCTTGAGTTAAAGTAATGGGCAAAAATCAACAGTGTGTCCCATCTTCATTAATGCAAGAAGAATGACGTCATGGATTTCTAACCAGTATAGTTAGTTTTCTCAGCCATTAAATGATAAGGGGCATGGGCTCCGCTTGAGCTCGCACACACACCCAAATTAGCCATACAGGGCCAAACTACCTTATGGGCCTTGCTAGGCCAACAATCCTAGCATGGGTTAAAATGCTTTATGGACCTGGGATCAATCCCATGCCCTGAACTCTATAAGGAATGTCCAGACATGACTAAATCTTGGGCGGCAAGCTCTAAAACAGATCAGCATTAATCCACTAAGATATCCTAATCACTGCCACAACAATCTAGGAGATCATGTTTGCACATTTTGAGCAAATATTTTGCACATCCCAAGTCAAGTAGCTAATTGACTGGATGAGTAATATAACGGGCAAGAACACCCCAATTAATGCCAAACCTCTTACGTCGAAAAGTCAGACACTCAGAGGACATATAAAACGCTACCTCCGTTATATACATGGGTAGCACTCTCTTTATTCAGAATAACACTAATTCTTGATATGAGAACTAACTTAGGCATCTAAGGCTCTTATGTTCAAAGGCTCACGATTCTTTCTTTCTCTTGTTCAAATTTCAGGGTTCAAGAAGTAATTTTCGGGGCCATCAAGATCATTCCCCACAAGTATCTATGCTTACCTTTAAGGCGTCGTTTGGTTCAAGTTTTAAGAGTAGAAAAGTAATGAGAATGCAATACCAAACTCATAGGTATGAGCTTCCTATGTATAGGGAACTTTTTACCCTTGGTTACCTTGAGAAACTTTTTCCCTGCATTTGAGATAACATTTAATGCATTTTTTTTTACTAATTTACCCATCTCTCTCTCTCTCTCTCTCTCTCTCATTCAATTCGGTTAAATGATGCAATTGAATTGGGGTTTGTCAATTTTGGGATTTGAAATAAGGGATTCGAATTTCACAAGGGATTTTTTGCTGAATTTTGGGCCCAATTCATTGGTGGCTGTAATTGGTGATACTGACCATGTTGTCGGTCCGACCAAGTCACTGTTAACCGACCTATGTCGAGTCGGGACCAGTCCCAAATATAGCCATACCGCGAATTGTCCATCGGTTCGCAGTTGCTTGGAAAATTCACGGTTCCCGAATTGAGATCATCCCTAATTTAGACTATATCTTGTACTTAGAAGAAGTGTTGTTATTTCAACCACAACAAGCTAGCTTTTGTTACCCTTATTAAAGGTATTGACTTTCATGTTTCCTTCAATTTATCCAAAAAAAATTTATAATTTTCTTACCATCTTGTTAAAAAATTTAATAAGAAAAAGGGTAATACCATGCCTTCTTCCCCACGACGATTCATATGCGTCCTCTTATTTCGTGGTTTTTTTTTTTTTTTTTTTCATATTTTCAATCTAAAGGTGTCAAACAAATTGGGTAGCCCCGATCACGGCACGAATCTGATCCAATTAAGTAAGACCTAGCACAACAAGGCTGATCATGGATCACGCCAACCCGTTAAAGCCCACTTTTTAAATTTAATTAAATTTGGAAAGAGAACACTATTGAGTGTAACATAGTTTTATTTTGTAACATACAATTTACGTGGGTTTTTTTTGTTCTATTTTCTCATATTTTACTGTTGTTTGAAGTTTAACGGGAACTCTGATTTTAAGTAAATTTTGTGTCTATCAAATAAGACGTGTGTATCAAAAAATTTATGTATTTTCATCTTGCATTACTAATCAACTTACACATTTGATGTCACTTGCTCCACTTTAATTTCGAATTTACTTTCGTTTTCATCAATTTTTTAAGTTTAAAGCAATAGCACCATATGGAGTGCTTAAAACATGTTGGCTTACGTGCATTAGTACCAATATATTGTATACCACACTACACCATAATATGGATTTAACAACGCGAGGTGTACGTTGTAAATGGTGTTTGATAACATGTTGACAACTATCGAGTAACTTGATGTTGTTAAAAGCCATATTCATTTAACGACGTGTTTCAGATGTTGTCTTACATGTGTGTGAACGTGGTTTGAATTTAGCACACAACATTTTATAGTATATTTGACAATGCTCCATGGACGTCGTGACACTCTTGTTCTTTTAACAACGTCTTATTTACATTGTAGATTATATTTTCGCAACACTCTTTGAACATTGTCTAATTGTTATCCACAACGTGAATTGGAACAGTAAAGTGAGAAAATTCCAGTAATTTTTAGAGATTTTGAAGGTTAAGTGGGAAACTTTCAGTTTCAAGGGATGAAGTGAGACCAAGCGTCCGTTCTAGGGGGTCAAACATTAATTAAACATATTAGAGGATATACAATCATGCTCCCTATTATGTAGTTAAATTTAGCTAAAAACACACAAATGCTATTTTAGGTGCTCTCTATAAAATTTGAACTTCAATCATACTTCCTAATTTAGGGAGTCATAAAAAATATAATTATTTTTAAATTCAATATAATTGGTTCATCTCTCCTCAAATTTAGGAGTTCCTAGAGGTCTCCCTATTTTAAGAGTTGGATAGGGAGCATGGTTGGAGTTGTATTTTTTAAATTCCTCCTTAAAATTTGTCTAATG